GTTGAACTTTTATGTTCTTTTCTTTTTTAATTTAGATTATTTATCTCTAAATTCACTTATTAATTATTCATTTTCTTTTTATAAATCTAAATATTGTAACTTTTGATGCTCAATTTCCTACAACATTTTAGTTTCTTTATCTTTAAATTCAATTGTTAAAGTCTCATTTTCTTTTCTAAATTGTAGATGTTGTAATTTTTCATGTTCTATTTCTAAAATCAATTTGGATTCTTTATCTTTAAATTCAATTGTTAAATTCTCATTTTATTTTTCCAATTGAACATGTAATAATTTGAGTTCTTCTATTTCTTTATTTTTTTATTTCTCTTTCTCATCAAATTATTATTATTGTAGTTTAAGTTAATCATTTAAATTTTAAATTTACTAATTTTAAATTATCAATTTCAAGATTTAGCTTTTGTTATATTTACAACAATTCATTTCCTTACATATCTTTACCTAATATAAGTTATTAATTCTATTATTTTTAATTTTCTATGTCCTACAGCAATTTAGTTTCTTTATCTTTGAATTCACTTCTTAATCTTTCATTTTCTATTTTTATTTCTGCAAGTTGTAATTTTTCATGTTCAATTTCCTTCAACAATTTATTTTCTCTATCTTTAAATTCACTCATGTAATTATTGCATTTTCTTTTTATAATTCTAAATATTGTTACTTTCCTGATGCTCAATTTACTTACAAATTTTTAATTTCTCTTACTTTAAGTTCATCTATTAATCTTTCATTTTCTTTTTATAATTGTAAATGTTATAGTTTTCCATGTTCTATTTCTAAAAGCAATTAATTTTCTTTTTCCTTTAACTGATTAATTAAAGTCTAATTTAATTACTATAAATCTCTAATTTCCAATTTATAACTTTCGCTCTCTTATTATATTTGATTAAATTTTATTTTTTATTCATTAATTTGCTCATCTTTATCTTACAATTATTATTAATTATTCTCCTTCAATTTTTCAATTATTTCATTTTATGCGTTTTATAATTACAGTAATTCATTCTTACCTAATTAAATTTAATTTTTTAATTCTTCATTAAATTATTATTAATTATTTATTAACTATTATAGTTTTATTTCCTTTTCTTTAAATTCATTTTAAACATCTTCATAATTTTATTTTTCTTTTTTTAAATCCATCATCAAATTATTTTCATTACTTTTTAATTTTTCTATTTCTATAATTTTTTCATTCTTTTAAATTTCATCTTCTTTTAATAGCCTTTATAACTTTTAAATTTCATCTTCTAAATGCTTATTTTAATCATTTTTTTATTACATTTAGCTATTTAATTTATTTAATTCACTTTCTTATAAATTACTTAATTATTAAATTTAATTTTCCAAATCCTGGTTTTATTATTTATTTTCTACTAGTTATGCCTTTAATTATTCATGATCAATTGTTAATTTTTAACAAATAATTTAAAATTCTTGTACTTCACTAATTTTTATTTATATTTTTTTTTATAAATCTTCATTTTCTATTTACAACTCATCCTTTTCTTATTTAAGTTTAACTTGGTTTATTTATTCTTCTTACATTTTATTTTGGAATTGATTTATTAATTATTTGTTTGAATTATCTTCTTCTTTCGATATATCTAATTATTTATTTAGCTCAGCAACTTTCTACTCATAAGTGATTATTTCTGATGACAGTTAAGTTAAACGTGAATCGAAAACCCGAATTTTTGACTACTAAATTAAAGCTTCTTCTTCTAAAGAAGACCTTTATTATTCTAATTTAGTATTCATTGTCTAAAGTTCAGAAATTAAGGATTATTAATGATTGTTCTTTTCGATCAATTCAGAGATTTATTTTTATAATTATTGTTTTTCAATATTTAAATTGGTAACATTCTCTTTATGCTGATTTAATTCAATTTGAATCTCAAAATTAATTTTTTTTGCTTATTCTTATTCCTAATTTTGTTGAGAATAATTGATTAATTGTAATTTATAATTTTCAATTTCTTTGTCATAATTTAGTAATTAATCTTTCAAGCTCGAAATCATTTATTCATTGTCCTTTTTATTTTATTCTTCAACATTAGTCAATTCTTTAAATGAATCAATTTGATTTTTATTTTCAAGTAGTAAGGTTTACAACATACTATTTGATTTTTCATAATATTTTATTGATTCATCTTTCTCCAAAATTTATTATTACAATTCCTAAAGTTTTGTTTCATTTTATAACTAAATTTATTCTGATAATTATAATTTTAGGTTTAATTATTAAATTTGACTATTTAGAGTTTCATTCATTTTTTATATTTCATCCTTTTAGATTTATTCGGCCTCTTTGCTAATACTCTACATTTGGATCGGGTTTTTAAGATTCAACCTTTTGGAATTACTAAATTTCTAAAATTTTCT